CCAAACAGATCCAAGGTGACTCAGGAGACAAGGCAGAATGTTTTTGAAACGCCGTTGTTTTGGGCTTTCTCTGGCGTCCTTAAACAAGGAGGAAGATTCTGAGCCATGCCTGCGTGCAGTTGATTGGCAGAGCATTTGTTCGGCTTTGAACTAAAATGAGACTTTCATTACAAGGAGATCCTCAGTTACGCCTCTGCACGAGAACATCTTCATCTGATCTCAGAAGTGTATTTATACCCCGAGCGAGAACAATTCACTGCTAAACTCTCCGAGGTGTCGCCCCTGCCTCTGACATTTCACAGGAAGCGGAATACGGGGTCAGCGTTGTTTTATTTCCACGCTGAATACGAAACAGGCCTTAGCATGAATAGATGATTATTCAGATTTGTCCCAACACAGGTTTTAAACCAGCATTAATATATCAGGCCCTCGGCTGCCTTCCACTCTGGCTCTTTTAATTTTTTTTTCCTTTCTCTTTTTCTTTTTTTTTCTTTTTTGCAGTGAGGCAAGAGTGCTGATGAATAATTGAACAGTCCCGCGGTCCAAATGTCACAGCAGGGAAAATTGTTTGCGCTGGCTGGTAATTAGAATTTCATTGTTTGTTATGTAGGTTTGAAATTCCTGTCATTCCACATTCCACCTTATCTCGGTGATGGCAGATATCACTGCGCTTGTCTATCCGGGGGAGACACTAAGGCAACGATGGAGAGATGGCGTGAAGCACAATACATTTGCTCATTCAGCACACACTCATTCACTCACTCGCTCACTCACACACTTGCACATTGTCGCCGACACAGATAAAGTCACGCTCCTTCTCATTCTCCTGCTCTCAGATGGACACAAAGCAGTGGCCCTGGTTCACATAGTCTTTTATGAATGCCGTATGCAATATTCCTTGAACCTTTGAGCCTCATGTTGTTTATGTGACTCTTCTAACATTGCGTAACTTGGTTCGTGTTTTGTTACTGCCACATTCAGCACTGCCTGTGCTCGTGACTGAGGCTGACATTTTTGTCCCATTGCTTGTAAAATGCTTGCACTGGAATGTGCACTCATGTACGCGCACACGTACGGGTACGCTTGTGTGTGTGATGTGTGAGTGGTGTATGAGAGTGTGGCTTGGCTCCGTGTGCTCGGGACTGCTCCATGTTTGCATATTAGCTGTTTTAACACTTGCACTGAGTGATGCAGTACGCTGTTCTCTTTGCTGCTCACACACAATCTTTTAGGGCTGGTGTCCTTTTCCTCTTTCTCGATTAGTCTTATGTGAGTTCGAATAAGGTGCTGCAGCTAGGTATGGGTAAATTACTATTTTTACTAATGACTTGAAATATATATTGATTCTAATGTACAAAAGACTTAAATAACAGTCAGAAAAACAGAGATCCATGAATGAATGAATAGAGATTCATGGAAGAATTCTGTCATGGCAGAGATCGCAAATGTCCCTCCAATTCCTCTGAAAGACAAAGGGTTTAACTTGGCTGCACACAAACATGTAATCCCACTGGTTGGGTTAGTTACTGTTACAGGTTAGTTAGAGGCAGGTAGAACCACTTCCAGGCTCCATTCATTTAGACAGGGGCTCACAGTAGCAGTTTCTGGAAGTTAATTAGTCATTATTCTCACTTCTGGAAGCCTTTGAGCTACATGCAGGGCTATTCATATAGTGTTGCTATCAATTTTGTTACAATCAATTTTGTACTCATCTTGAAGCATACACTGTAAAAAAATTGTAATATAAAAGTATTTTACTGTGTATTTTACAGTTTTGTACTGTTCTTCTAGAATATCATTAAATTTACATAAATAGACTGTGATTTTACATTTCAAATGTAAATTAACGATAAAATCACTGTAAATGTAATAAAACATAATTTTCTTGTTTTTTAAATGATATTTGTCTGTACATATGCATATTTAGATTGTTAAAATACATTCACAAATGTATCATAATTTCACAAATATTTGTCCGTTATTTGAAAGATTGAACTGTTAAATTCAAATGAAAATATATAAAATGATTCTATAAACTTTTTTACATCAAATAATATTATTATAGGGCGAGTCGTGGCTCAAGAGTTGGCAGTTCGCTCGTAATCGAAGTTGCCGGTTCGAGCCCCTGGACGTCTTCCTGGTCGTTGTGTCCTTGGGCAAGACACTTACACCTACCACCTACTGGTGTTGGCCAGAGGGGCCGATGGCGCGATATGGCAGCCTCGCTTCTGTCAGTCTGCCCCAGGGCAGCTGTGGCTACAACTGTAGCTGCCTCCACCAGTGTGTGAATGTGAGAGTGAATGAATAGTGAATTGTAAAGCACTTTGAGGGTCTCGAAAAGCGCTATATAAATGCAATCCATTATTATTATTTAAACCAACTGTTAACTGTATATTTCTGTACATTTAAGTATTATTACTCATAATGCCGCATTCATTGACCTTGTTTATAGGTAATTTCATTGTTTAATGAAATTACCTATAAACCTCTGTCAGTGCGCCCCAGGGTGGCTGTGGCTACAATGTAGCTTGCAATCACCAGTGTGTGAATGGGTGGATGACTGGATGTGTAAAGCTTTGGGGTCCTTAGGGACTAGTAAAGCTCTATACAAATACAGGCCATTTACTATGGTATATTTCATTGTTTAATCACATTAAAATGTTCCTAATTTAATGTTTAAAAGCACTTGAAAAAGGCAAAATCCCATGTAAAATTAGGGCAACAAACTGTATTGTCATTACTGAAAATAACCGTATTTTCATGAGAAAGTTATTTTCTGTTATTTTTGGTATTATTTTGGCGCCCCAGCTGCCGGAATATTACTGTTTTTTAGGATTTTTTTTTTTTACAGTGTACAGTATATAACACGTGCTGCCGGTAGAAATTGTGTTCATGAGTTTGTGCTAAAAATACAAAACTCAGAGCAGCTTATGTTTATGATAATCTGTAGACTTTATCACGAAGGACAGCCTAAATAACTCCTCCACAAATATGCAGTGCTGTTTCAACACTGTCCAATCAGTGTGTGTGTACAATAATATTTGTGTGTATGATATGTGTGTTAGGTGTGTTGTGTGTGTGTGTGTGTGTGTGTGTGTGTGTGTGTGTGTGTGTGTGTGTGTGTGTGTGTGTGTGTGTGTGTGTAATCCAATTGTTTTATTTCGTTAGGTTTTGTGACTCGAGGGCAGTGAAAAGAAATTTCACCTTTATTTTTTATTTAAAACTTATTTTTAGCAAACTTTTTCTTTTGGTGTGAAGCACTATGCCACTCATTTTGTCATTTAGCCATGTTTCTGATGATCTTTATAAACAGGTTCAACATTTCAATAGAATTTTTGGAACCCCCAGCTTTCATGTTGTCTAAGTGCTAAGGAACATTCACATGTGGGTTTGCAGGTAAGCGGTCCATGTTGACAGGAAGAGAGGGATGCCATTTATTGCAGTAGTTTTGTAAGGATTGTCTATTACCTAGTTTTTAAATGTTTTTTTTAAATAGCATTTTTTCACTAAAAATAAGCAGTTGATGAACTCCCAGAACGGCTTTCTGGCTTCTGGTGAATATCAAGTATTTCCTGCCTTTTAGTTCTGTTTTTAGCCTCTACCACCCACGACAGGGAATGGTAGAGACCTGCTGTTAAAGAAAACTGCTACAACCAGTCCATGCTGAACAGATAATCAAGCTGAAATTCTAAAAAGATCTCCAAAGCAAAGTCGATTCAGAGTCAGTCATTAAGTTGTGGCCTTTGTTCCCTGTAACAGAAACAAAAATCTCTTTAGTTGCTACATCAACAGTTTATGAAGAGGAGGAACCAGATACCTCCAGTTGGCCAAGATGACGAAAGAGCTTTCCTGTGAATTTGTGTCACCTCACGTTAAACAAACAATTTATTGTGTTTGAATGTCGTCATCATCAACATGACTGAAAGGCAAACCTGTTTGATTCCTATCTTGACTGACTTGCCTGTCGGCTGACATTTGTTCTGTGGCATTTAATATTACGACAGCTTTACTAACCAAAGTCAGTAGCATAACCACGAAGCAAAACCTGTGGCTACGGTTTCTCTAAATTAGCGTGGAGCAGTTGATATCCTCATTCATTGCATCTTTAAAGTCAAATGGCTGGCTTTAATACTTCTGCCGTGTCCTAGTATCTTTTACCAGATTGAAACTGTATAATAGCGGCATTTCTCTGCTATTCCTATTTTCCTCACCATCAACCACAGGCTCTCAGTGTTTTTGCACTCCGTAGCTGATTTCTTTGTTTTTGACTATTTCTTTTAAAAGGTTTTTCTTTTTTTCATGCCTTTCATATTTGTTTTTCTAAGTGCTTACAAGCAGAATAGTCAGTGTGATGGTATTGCAAACCCCTTTTTGTGAAAGTAGGCGTCAAATGACAGTTAAAGGTTTCATGAAGAGACCTAACTTTTTTTGGTGGGGATATACTATTTTAGACTGCACAAAGGGAATTACCAGAGCTCATTCAAAGGGCCACATAAAATCCAAAGCAGCCGAAATAAAACAACAAGTATGAATATGCCAGTCTTAGAGGCTAATAACAAGTTATTTTCTAGCCCTTTCCTTTCTGTCTTTCATCTATCTTAATCTCTGATTTGACATTTGTCTTATGTTGTTTTCTCCCCCTTTTTTTCCTCTCCATATTTGTCTCTCTGGATCACGAGCTCTCCATTTCTCCCACCATCATTCTCTTTTGTTCTCTCTATCGGTGGGAGATGGAGTTAAGTGCAGCTGTAGGCCAAATAGCCCAGTGATTGGCTCTCACTTACTCCTGCCTCCCCAGTGCATTTGAAATCACTGATTGCAGACAAGCTAGTCTAAATCAAAGCTCTGCTTTAAGGAAAATTCTTTCAAGGAAAAGGGAGTCTGCTAAACCCATTCCCAACGCAGATCATCGCCTTCACTTACATGAAGAAACAATGTGTAAATTGACTGTATTTAACTGATATTGCTAACTGATATCAAATTATGTTGCTGCCCTTCAGATGCCCTGAACACAAGGAACCATCAGGTGATGTGCACCACCGTGAAAGTCCTGCAGCACCTGGTGATGTCTGCAGACAAGGTGGGAGAAGCTCTGGTGCCCTACTTCAGGCAGATCCTCACCGTTTTTAACCTCTTCAAGAACAAGAGAAGTGAGTTTCAGGCACCAAGCTCTGGAGTGTTTCAAGGACAGATGATGTGGGAGGTGTTTGTCTTTTGGAGCAGATCTTGTGTAAGCTTGTTCTAATATTGGCATGACTGCAGAGCAGCAGTCACGGGGGGAGGGGCATGAACCAGGTGATTTGACAGCCCTGAGAAATGCCACGTAGAGGTTAAGTGTCTCTTTTTATTTGAGTCCAACTAAAAAGGGATTCTGTTTTCTGCATTTTCTTTGCTGTAGACTCAAAGCTTCTGCCCTCGAGTCCTTTTTACTTTTCCTCCTTCCACTTAAGCATCCACTTGACAGAGAAGCTCAATTTTGTCTTTTCTGCTGTCAGTCAGGCGGCATTGTGCAGTGCTGTTGAGGAGGAGACTTTGTCCTTGCTCTCACTGAAAGGCTGCACCTGGGTGACACCAGGACCTGGGGAGATTGGCATCAGATAGGCAGGGCTCTTTGTGTGGCTGTGTCAAAGCACTTAGGATGGTGTGACATGATGTGGACCCATTGAAGGCTTAAAGGCACAACCAGCCCCAAACACCACAGCAGGGTGTGGAGACTGACATTGTGAATCAATCATCTAAACACAAGCTTTAACGGGAGAAAACACAAGGCTTTAGTCTCTTAATCAATATCCAATTTGAATCTGTTGTCTCTTTAATTCGCTTACATTTATCTGTTTGTTGAGATAGTGAGAAAAGACAAAGGAGGGAACAAGAAAGCCCGCCTTATTAGCGCACGGCCTTATGCAAATCTCCTCCGTAAATTAGCTGTCAAATCAATCCCCTAAACCGTTTTGAAGCGCGAGTTTCTCCGCCACACCAAAAGCTCCGGAGTCAGCCGGTGAACCTCACCATGAATATATCTGCCTGGTAGTTACCGTGGCGCCCTGTCCACCTGCCTCGACTGCTCCTCTGTCCTCCTCTGGCAGGCATCGATTAAATCCGAGCCAACCTCTCACCTGGCAGGCGTCTCTGCTATCCACCTCTTGAGACCAGCCTCTGCCAGAGAGAGGTCCATACAGCTGCCAAAGCACAGGGCCCAATCTGCTAAACAAGGACAGAGCTTCCTCTTCAGTAGTTTATAGGCATCCGGCAGAGTTTCTCTCCTGTAAAGTTTGACGAGAGTTGAGGCTGAAAATGTTACCAAAGTAAAGTATGTCGGTGCAAGCGAGCGTCTATATACTGTAAGTTCATAGATAGCTGGATAATTTCCTTGTGTTTTCCCCCCCGATCACCGTCTGAAGCCTTAGATGAGCTGTCACAATTCATGTTCTGTTCTACCCACTCCCCTCTAACAGAGAAAGATATAACTTCAAATACAGAGAATAGATGCTTCCCTTTTGGGAGGGGGGAACAAACACTGTGTGAACTAGAACTAGAGTTCTTTCTGCCTAATCCACAAACATTTCAGGGTTGTTGTTCTCTCACAGTCTTTCTCTGTGTGCCTTTGTCTTTGTTTCTCTCTTCTGTTTTATGGCTTGTTTATATCAATATCAAAGCTTTCATTGAAGTCCATCTATTATCTAATATTACTTATATACACCTCCAGGTCCATCCCACACTCAGTCGGCTGTCTCAGCGCCTCAGACCGAGCCTCTAGCAGACAGGCACGATCATTGTGTTAATACAGTAGAAGACACAGAAGGCCGGCTAGTTGTGTGTGGTAACTCCCACACTGTAACTCACAGAGCTTGCATGGCATCCCTCTTATCTCCTGCGCCACAACGGGACCACTGTCCATTTCATGCCAAATGTGTGTGCCTGTGTCCACATTTGTGTACGTCTGTCATGAATAGATCTGTTGTATCCCATATGCAGCTGTTGCCTTCAGTGCTTTCTGTCTCTCCCTGCTCACTGTTGTCTGTCTGCCAGCCTTGGGCACACAATGCTTTACTACACATCTATGACATGCCCCACATATACTTGCACATATACCATTGCACGCCGGTCCAGATGAGGCTACACAACCTGACTCTGTTTCTGTCTGCCCAGTTGTTCGAGCTCCGAATCAATAGGCTGACAGCCACTGCTGCAGGGTCAGGGCCACAGTTAGATATCACCGACATCTCATCGCGGGACAGATCCCTTAGGCTGTGTTCCCACGCTTCCGCTGTGTCGCTCCCACTCTGAGACAGGGTTGTGACCTGTTAAATTGGTCTGTATACAGCCCTTATCTGAGCCATTTTTCCAAGGTCAGAGACGGAACTTAACAGCCATCTCCAGAATGGACCCTCGGGTGTCCTTTCACTCAGACAGAGCGCTGGCCCTCTGACCAGAAGAACAGCGTTACAACCCACCAACCCACATGTTCAGTCTTTTTGGGATCCAGGCCTCTGTCATTGTTCAAAGAGAGAAAAATATGCCTGTTTAACTCCGGGCTGCTGGCTGCCATTCTTCCCACTGTCACAGTAATGCGTCATTTTGAAGTGCACAATAATGAGCAATCACATAGTATCACCATCCTTGATGTACCCTTTTGTCTCCTGAATCAACGCTCTCAGCTTTTGTTTGCTTTGTGTCTTTTGTTTATCAACTGTTCTTTGTGTATTTGTCTACGTGTGCATGTGTGTGTGCTTGTGTGTGTGCATGTGTGTGTGCATGTGTGTGTTTTAGAGACAATGTTGAGGACAGTGTAGGAATTTCTCCAATACGATTTGCATGGCTCTCTTGTTTTCTTGATGTGATGAATCTTATCCCTAATGAAATGCAACAATGTTCCTTAAGAAGGAGAGATGTGCTCCGTCATCCAGCAAATTCCTCTTCTGAGCTCAAAGGATGGGAACTCATCTGCCGTACTGTACATCATATCAGGAAGGGACTCTGCAGCGGAGTAAACAACATCGAAAATATATTGTGGGGTTGTGAATGAAGATGAAATGTATGCCAGTACTGATTTTATTTAGTAGATTAGATGTTGGCTAGATCAGTGAATACAGATTCTTTATTACTAAATTCCACTTTTTCACAGTCGGTTATGTTACCTTATGATAAATAGGACCTGGTGAGCTGAGCAGATGTAAAGAAAACTATGAATACTAACTCGAGTTTAAATTTTAAAAAAGTCCTGCATACATGGTGTCTTTTCGACACAAATCACTTCCAGTGGGACCCAAAAATGGTCACTTCAGTGGCTCGAAGCATAGCTGGGACGTTAAAACAATTCAACAGACTGGTTATTTAAATAATCACCCCACAGTATACTCCCTAAACATTTCTGCTGTTAAGTTGTGCATTTATAATTCAATTAAAATTAACATCGGTTTTCAGTTTACAGTAGCAGCCATCTCAAAGCACTTCTGATGATCCCCTATGAGCGAGCACTGGGGAGCAGTGGGAAGGAAGAACTCTGTTTTGGCAGGAAGACAAAGCCAGGTGCAGGGAGGGGCAGCCCTCTGTTATAACCGGTTGGTTATCAAGGGAAAAGATACAACTTAAAATAAGGACAAACTAAGAAGGACAGGCGAGAGCGAAGGATTTCAAACTGTGTTTATTGGGGATGGCTTATTTTCACAGCCAGCCTCAAGTGGCTATTTAAGTTGCATTTTTTGGACTTTCATATTTGCTTCATTTTTCAGCCCCAGATGTTGGTGCTTGGCTTCAGATGAAGTCTTCAAGTTCAGTTTTTTGTTCTTCTCTATCCATCCAACTCCTTTAATAGAGACAAAAGTGGATTTAACAGGGTGCTCCACATCAGTGGCAAGCATCTTGGTTGTGTGTTTATCGAAATTGCTCAATCATATAGCTTTTATATGCAGCTGTCGTATTAAAGCTGTTGTGTTTGGTGTAGCGGAGACTAAGCATTTAGAAATCTGTACGACCAGGAGGAGGGCCTGGCGTGCTCTGCCACAGCGAATGAAACATGAGCTCGCAGATTCGTCTGGTTCCCAGGGTAGCATTGTTGTTGTTGCCCTGATAATTTTCTTCGCTTATCTGTAAGGTGTAGGTCCTTAAACACCTATTCATCACTGACAAGCGCACTCTCGCTGTCTCTCTCTCTCTCTCTTACACACACACACACCCACAGAAACACAGTTATTCACACTTATTGCTCACACACCAGTGATCTGGTTCATTTAGCCTCTTTTATCTTTCTGCTAGGAATGTGGCCAGCTATGATAGGGTCTCGCCCACATGCATTGCTGAGCCTACACACACAGACACACACACAGACACACACACACACTCTACAAGTTGTGATAGTGGCTCTCTGTCTTCTGTGTCTGGACAACTGGTGAGGTTTTTGTGTTGGTGACAGATGCAGCACTGTGGCTGTATCTTATCTCATGACCGCGCTCTATCTGAGTATCACATGACGTGGTCACAGGCACACTCACAGGTCACGTTGGGCCTTTTTTATTTATACGGCGGCTCAGTTACAGCCGATGTTTGGAATTGAATGGAAATAAACACGGGTAGGTGGTTCACCAGACAACCGCCACCCCCACCCCCTCCATCACACCCTGATACAAGGACATGGAGAGTCATGAGGAAGGAGACCTATTCCACTGTGTTCAACTATGATACTAAGAGAAAAGGCCATCTTGAGCAGAAACACAAGGAAATTAAATCCTTTTTTTTTTTCCCTCGGCTCATTTTAATAAGACAGAAGGCCAAGCGTATGCCTGTGTACTCAACCACCTGTGCTCCTGTCCACAATACAACATAATACTCCCATTTACTGCCACACCACTGCACTGTGGCGTGTATGATGTTGAAGCTAATTCCTGGGGATTCCCAGTCACAAACATTTGCTTTATTTAATGACCTTTTCCAGCTGCTGTTGTGAAAAATTAATTCACTGCCACGCTTTCGTTGTGTACATAGCAACGCTATGGAGGAGCCGCGCTCGCACAAACACACAAAAACACACACATAAGCCTATGCCCCCACTATAATCCATCATCTTCCACAGGCACGGAGAGCTCCTTTTCCCCCAGTGGACATCAGAACACACACCTCATCTTCAGCTCCTCTTTCCACATAGCCCCCCTCC